AGACATTTTAGCACTAAGAAAACTGAGACCTTTTTGAGCGCAGAAACTGGGGAATAGTTCTCTAAATAAGGTTTTCCTTTTCTAGTAGGTGAGTCACACAGAGAAGCAATTGGCAGTAAATGAAGGGAATGGTTGCTTAGGCTTAGCCACAGTGGCATTATAGTTGTGGAAGCAAGGCCTAGGACTAGGTGGCAGCAACATCATATTTGACAGGAATAATGGTTCTTTAGAAGGAGGATTTATCCTTTACTAGATGAATGGATGCTCCCTTTAAAAAACTGTTTGAGCAAGTGGATAAGTGTGGTGCACAGTAACCTGGAAGCCTAGGGGTCATTTGAGATTTTTCTTCCTACCCTCCCCAAGTGTAATTCATTGTCAGGTCCTGTGATTACACTTTATAGGTGTCTGTCACATCTGTATCCAAAGCATTTCTCTGAATTGTTTGTTTATATATTTTAATCATTTCTTTCCTGGAATATGGCAACAGCCTGTTAACTGATTGCCCCACCTCCTATTCGCTCTGTCCTATCCATCCTCCACACGGCCTCTCGGAAGATCTTTCTGAAGCACAAATATGATCACATGACACTTCAGCAGCTCCCTCTTACCAGTGGAATAAAGTCTAGGCTGCCACAGGTTGGGAACCTAGCTCCCCTGCCACACCACTGCCCTGGCCCTGCATCCTACCCTTCACTCTCCTCACCTGCTTGTAGCCCCTCTTGCCTCCCTGCCTTTCCCTTTGCCTGGGATATGCTTCTCCCCCATCCACTGAGTGAACCCCAGTTGGGAGGCCCAGACCAAGTATCTTCTCCTCTCTCTAGTCTTCCCCAGCCTTCCCCCCATATTCATCGAGCAGAGTGAGTCTCTTTCCTCAACCATCCCTGGAGTGTGGCCTTGACCACAGTTCTTTCATACTGGGTTTCTGGGTCAAATGACCCTCTAACATGAAGATTAAGCTCCTGGAAGATGAAGATCATATTTAGTTTACCTGTGCAAGCCCAGCTCCCAGGATGGTGCTAGGCACATAGTAGGAGTTAAATAAGTGTGTATTGACTGCCTGATTATAGGAGACAGAAATGGGAGATTAGTCTGCTGAAGCAAAGTGCTATGAGAGAGCAGCATACCTCGTATCTTTTATACATATAAGCTCACAGTGTGTTCTGGCTGCAGTCTTTTTTTTTGTCTTTTTTACTGACCGGTAACGGGATCGCAACCCTCGGTATTGCGTCCGCACCGCGCTCAGCCAGTGAGCAGGAACTGGTCTCCACATGGGATCCGAACCCTTGGCGGGAGCGCCGCCGCACTCCCAAGTGGCGCACTCTCCAGTGCGCCACCGGGCCGGCCCCTGGCTGCAGTCTTGACCAAAGACAGCTTTCCATGAAAGCCTTCTTTTCTCCTACGCTCTCGTCTTAACCACTGGAGAAATACAGTTGACCTGGTTGTGAAATGAACATCTGATTTGTGTACATTCTCTCCCACCCCCACCCCTGTTACCTGATGAACAAACTACTGATTTATTTACATTTTTAATAAATATAGCCACAGATACCTTAAAAAGCCGCCCTCTTATCCCCCAACCCCACCTCTAGCTATTGTGCCTGATTTTGTGCAGTCTCCAATGTCAATTCTTTTTCTGTTGGCCCTTCACCATTTCTAAGTAATTGATCACTTCATCCAACTCAGATCCAGGTCTTCTGAAGTCAGATGCCATGTTCTTCCTTATATGCCCAACTGTCCCTCTTCCAGGCTGGTGCCTTCCTCTTACACCACCCTGACCACACGAGAGCCAAGGAGCAGCAGTCTTTGGTCACTTGTTTCCCTCTGCTCACTGATTCATTCTTTCATCAAACTCTGGATGGATACAAATTTTGCCCAAACAGACTTCAGTGTAGTGGCAAAAACATACTTAAAACTGAGTTGTTATATGGTAAGGACAAATTGCTGTGGAAGCACTAAGAGAAGCTTGATAAGTGAGGAGTCAAGGAAGTCTTCCAGGAGGAGGTAACATTCAAGCTGTGTCTTGAGAGGTGAATGGATACCCTCACAGAAAAGAAGAGCATTCTAGGTGGAGGGAACAACAGAAGTAAAGATCCAGGGATATGAAAAGCAAAACAGGTCTGAGAAATTGAGGATGGGTGTGGCTCAAGCTACTGGATGCTTAAAGGCAGGGGGAGGGAGATCCTGTCTCCAAGGGCTTTTCTTCTGAGCTCAGGCTTGGTGGAATCTGCAAGTGCTCCCTACAGCTGCTCCCAAGGCCCTTCTCTGCCCCACAGGTGCTCCCATGGCTGAGCAAGGTTCCCAGGGCTGTTGGCACTCCCCCCCACTCCCACCCGCTCAGGCGGGTGGTATCCCAGAAGGAAAGAGGCAGGGGAGGAAGCAGATAAGAAAGACAGCTTCTGTTTAGACACAAATATCTTGGTAATCAGCACAGATGGGATGAGAAATACCAAAAAAAGTACATGACAGTTTAGAGAGAATTTGGCTAAATGTTACATATTTTTAACATACCTGTGTAGAGTTTTTGGAACAAGCACCTGAGTCCCCCAGAACCTGATTGGGGATGGGGGGAATGCCTCAATCAAGAGGTATTTTTATTTCAGAAATGTTCCCTTCTCCATCCACAAAACTATCTTTCTGATTTTTTTTTTTTTCTCCCACCAAAATAAGGCACAGGATTTGTCTCTGACGCTGTGTCTCCCTATTTGGACGGCAAGCTGTGTAACATATTTCCACCCAGCGTGAAGCTTCTTGGCAGACTCTTGAGGCCACGTTTTGGTGGCTTCAGAGTTATCTTTGGATCTGTCAAAAGTGCTAATGGGCTTTCTGGCCTTCTTTAAGCTCCTCATTTTCTATTTTCTTTTTACTTCCATCCTCTCTTAAAAGAAAAATTCATGTAATTCATCAGCAGTTAAGCTTTTACTGAAATGCTCAGCTGAGGGCCTCATATTTTTGTTTGGGAAAAGAGCTCTGCCATGTCACTGTCTTCAGAACAAACCCCGCCCTGACATCATTAGCTTAGCCTTCCTCAGTCTACTGGGCAAGAGATACTCTTGTTGACTAATTCAGACTGCCTTTTGTGTTTGTTTCGTTTTTCCATCAAGTTTAAGAGACAAATTGGTGTGGTGGTTAGAGAATGAGTTTTGGATTTAGGAGACCTGGTTTTGAAACTTAGCTCTGCCCTTTCTAGCTAGGTGACTTTTAGAAGACTAATGACCCTTCCCGAACCTCAGTTTTCCCACCTATAAAATGGAGATGATAATGCCTATCTCGGAGTTGTTGAGAAGATTAGAGAGAACACAGGTAAAGTACCTGTTGCTTGGCACATAAGGATTATTCAATAAATGGGGTAACAATCATTTCTAATGAATTTTTCCCCCTTTCTTTAGGCATATTTTGATCCCATCTTATTCCTATGCTATACTTTCTTTTTCCAAACATGATTTTTACCTACAGTTTTGAGTGGTACACAAAACGAGCATAGGTTTAGGGACAGACCTGCCCAGGACTGAATCATGTCTTATCCACTTTCTGTGTGGCCTCTATCAAATTACATCATTTCTCTCTGCCTCTGTTTTCTTATTTTTATGTAGGGATAATAATACCTAGTTCAAGGAGTGGTTTCAAGATTAAGTGAAATAGTATATTTAAAGCCTTGTGCATGGTAGGTATTTAATGGTATTTAAGAGGGACAATGTAGTGTAAGGGACAGTGTGTAGGCTGCGGAATCATATCTGACTCCTCCAGTTACTGAATCTCTCCCAGATCTAATTTATTTATATGATAAGGAGAAAAATATGTCATTGGATTTTTGTTAAGATTGCATAGGATTACACATATGAAGGGTCTGGTACAGTGCCTGGCACTTGCTAGGTATTCAGTATATGGAGCTATTAATTCACTTGCTCTTTATCTATAAAGGTTGATGGTTAACCTGGTACTCCAAACAGTAATAGATCATAAGATAAGTGCCCATTCTTATTCCCAGCCCATAATATTGTTGAAAAGCACTTTATGCTATTTTGCATATAAAATCAACCTGGTTTACTTCAATTTATGGATTGTAGATCTTTAATCATTATAAACTACAGCCCCTGGCAAATAGCACTCCTTCCCTCCCCAATCCCTTTCATTTTCAGAGAATTAAATTGTGTGGCATTGAAAACCTGTAACATTGAAGAAATTAGCATATTTATGTGTATTATTAAAGTCAGGTGGGTATTGAAAGGGTTGTAGAAATGAAACACATGCCTTTTTTTTTTTGAAACCTGAAGAGTACCAATCTACAGTACTAATTAAAAGAATGGAGCCTAGGCTACAGAAAATAGCTAGTTGGAACATTGCTTTGTCACAACTTGCTGCTGTTTGTCTTCAATTTTTTTTCCCCTTTGAATTAAATACCTAAAACTTTAAAATTGCTTTAATTCCAGCTGAGCTGTTTTAGAGCATGTAAACTGTGGAGGAGGGGGACACAAACAGCGATGACAGGAGCGGGGCACATCCTGTCCTCGTGGGTGGCATCTACTCTACAGAAGCAGACTCTGGCCAGGAGCATTTTGGTCCCTGGGTGTTGGGAAGGTTCTAGGATCTGAGGTCCAAAGATCTGAGCAGCAGTCTTGTCTCCACTACTTATTAGACTCTTTGATCTTGACAATCTCTCTGAGCCTTGATTTCCTCATTTGTAAGATTGTGGAATTCCTGTGCTGCTCACCTTTCAGAACTGACATGAAGAACAATCACAGTGCCGTATACAACCTCATGTTGTACACTGTAATCACCAAACAAAGATATAATTGCTCAGACTGCTTCATCTCTGAGATCTCTTCCAACTTTACATTTCATGATGTTATACATGCATGGGATTTGGTCTCCCAGGGAGAAAGAATAGGACAGAAAGAAAGTATACTTTCTCATGATTTTCTATTTCTTGGGCTTTTATTAGATACTATTTGTAATAACAACAAACAAAATAAGCCACAAACTTTGCCTCCTCTTTCTCCTAGAGAAATCTGACAGAATATTTTGTGGCTGTGGATGTAAACAACATGTTGCATCTGTATGCCAGTATGCTGTACGAACGCCGGATCCTCATCATTTGCAGCAAACTCAGCACTGTGAGTAGACAGTCTTGAGACGGGCTTTTTAGTGATTTAATTTTAATTGAAAGATGTATCAGCAAGATTAAAGAAAATTTTAGAAAAAGGAATCAGCCACAATCCCCTCATATGGTAACATGTCACTTTCATTAATTATTCATGCTCCTTTACAGTGCCAGAGCACATTTCATTTATCCTTTAGTCTCACAATCAATTATAAATAGTTTTCCATTTGATTGTGTGTTGTGAACATTTTGCATATTTCCACATAAATTTCCATTATTGTCATTTTTTGTCTGCACCATATTCCATTATTCTGATGTGTCATTATTTACTAAATTTTTTTTCTCTTGATGGACAGTAAGGTTGTTCATAGTTTAATCCTTTAGTAGGTAATACTGTATTTTGGCAGCTGAACCCTTGACCTTGGTGTTACCAACACTGGGCTCTAACCAACTGAGCTAACCAGCTGGTGCTATCTTTTGGATCCTTTTGACTGATTTAGTTTGTGTTCTAAGAGGTTGGGACCACAGGTCAAAGGACTTGATAAGTACTATGACATAGGGACTGCCAGATTGCTTCCCAAACAGGCTGTGCTTGTTTATAGTGAGTGCTGCCAGCTGTATATGAGTGCACCATTTTCACTGCAGCCTTGCCAGAATTGTGTGTGTGTGTGTGTGTTCATGCATGTGTTTTAATTTTGCTAATAAACTAGATGTAAAATGGTATTTCAGGTTTGCTTTAATTTTAATTTCTTTGGTTAGAGATAACGGAATATTTTCCATGGGCTTATTTCCTATTTGTATTTTGGTAATGTCTTTTCCCATTTACCTTATAGGGGTCTTGATGTTTCTCTTATAAATTGGAATGAGCTCTTTATATACTGTAATAACTTTAGCTGTATGTATAATATGAATATTTTTCAAATTATTTTTATTTTAGTTTTTTTCACTTGTTAAGTAAAAGAGTTTATATTTTTCGCAATTTTTATTATGAAAATTCCTAAGCGTTAGAGAAAGTTAAAATCATTTTATATTGAATGCCAATATAATTTCAGCTAGATTCTACCAGTAACATTTTGTTGTGGTTTCTTTATCACATTTATCTGTCCTTCCATTCTTCATACCATCTATCAGTCCATCTTAATTTTTGATGCATTTCAAAGTAAATCATAGTTTTTACAAAGTAAATTGGTATACTTTGCCCTAAATAGTTCAGTATCTGTTTGCAGAATTTGTCGTCGTTGTTGTTTTTAGGTAAAACTTACATATAGAAGTAAGTGTTATCTGTAAACTAACTTATAGGGAGTAGAATGCCCTAATAGGCACGCCTCTGTTAGAGTGGGTAGAAAAACCTTTTCTTAGTGGCGATTCCCTAATGAAAAGCCTATGAATGAAATGAGTTATGTGTTTACCTATGAATAAAAGGCACCTAATAATGAAAACTTTGTGAGACTAACAGTTTTCTTTATGATTTTCATCATAATTCTTTGTTTTATTATTTCTTTTGTTAGACTTATAGCACATAGTAGGTGACAAAAGCATGGCCCCTGTCCTCAAGGGAAGAGCAGCCTATTGTAGCCCTCTTTCTTTGTTTTGTTTTCCTTTTTATTTTATACCACAAGTGCAGTTTATACTCTCAGGGCATGAACACTCAAATTGAGTTTCAGAATGAGAGTACTGCCAACCAGATTTATCTTTGCTTCTTTATAGGGCCGAATGAAATGAGAATATATTTGAGAGTCTAGCCCATAACCAGTTGGTTTAGATTATTAAACTTCAGTTGACAAAAACAGGACGTTATCTCAATGGAACTGAATTTCCTATAATTTAATCATAATATTTTTGAGCCCTTAATATGTGCCAGACACTATACCAAGCACTTTGCGTATGTTAACTCATTTAATCCTCACTACAGCAGTTCTGTTAGGTTCTGTTATTACTTCCCTCTTATAGATAAGGAAGAACGTGTCTTCTGTATGGTTTTGTTCACATAACTGTGTTTAATCTGCTACATTTATTTCTGCTCCTTCCCAAAACCAAAACGAAATAAAGGAATAAATCTATAAACACAAAGAACAGATGCAGCACAGATTTTAAAGACAGTAAGAAAATACTGTTATCAACTTTATGCCAGTATTTGAAAACAAAGGCGAAATGGAGAGAAAAGTATAATTTACCAAAATTGACTAAAGAAGAAATAGAAAAATTGAATAGGTCATTTAATTTACAGAGACAATTGGAAAACGTTTCAATTCTGAATTTGAAGAGGTCCAACGGCTTGAATTAAGCTGATGTCTGCTCAGCAACTTTATCCTCTGAGAAACTCCACATAGCTGATCAGGACGCTGGCATTGTCTTAGGCACTGGGGTTGTAGCTAATGATAAGTACTAAGGAGTAAAATGAAGCAAAAGAAGAGAGTGGATGGGGAGTGGTGAAGCAGCAGGGATTGCAATTGTAGAAGATGGCAAAGAATGGCTTACTGAGGTGACACTTCAGCTTCCTTCTTGCTACCTCAAGGAAATTGCTCCAGTAGTAATCTCTCCTCTCCAAGTACATTCTCATGAGCGTACCAAGATGATATAGTAGCTTGCAAACTTAAAAACAAAACAAAACTTTCTTGACTCACATCCCATTTATCCCATTTCTATTCTCCCTTTTAGAACAAAATTCCTCAAGAGAGTTATTTATTACTGTCTAATTCCTCTCCTCTCATTCCCTCCTCAGTCTTCTGTTAGGATTTAGGCCCCTTCTCTCCACTAAGTTAGTTCGGGTCCCCAGTGACCTCATATCAAGTAAAATAAAAGTGAGTTAATACTTGCAAAGCTCTTAGAACAAGGGTCTGGCATGTAGTGTGTATATATGTTTATAACAAATTAATAAATGCTATAATGGGAAGTCAAATTTTAATGTTTAAAATTTGAAACCAAGGGCCAGCCTGGTGGCGCACTGCTATAGTGCGCCGCTTGGGAGTGCGGTGTCGCTCCCGCCGAGGGTTCGGATCCCACATACAGACCGGCCACTCACTGGCTGAGCGAGGAGCGGGAGCAACACCGAGGGTTGCTATCCCGTTGCTGGTCCCGGTCCGGTACGGGCGCGACACTGAGGGTTGCGATCCGTTGCCAGTCACGAAAAAAGACAAAAAGGTAAAAAAAAAAAAAAAAAAAAAATTTGAAACCAAGAAATTGTTATTTAGAAAAAGTGATTACTTTGAATTAGGGGTAAGGAGAATCATGAAGTGGACTGTTGCTTTTCAGTATTAGCCTTTACTATTTGTTTTGTTTGTAAGGTTATAAACATGTATTACTTTGACTTAAAACATTTTTAACATAATAGCCGATTCTTAACTGAGTTCTAAATTTTACTGATTGGTGGTAGAAACCTCTTTGGGGGAGGTGGGGTTCTCCTGATATCTCACCTGCAATCAATCAGCAGTGTCCTGATCAGCTATGTGGAGTTTCTCAGGGGATAAAGTTACTGAGCAGAAGACATCAGTTTAATTCAAGCCTTTGGACCTCTTCAAATTCAAAATTAAAAAGTTTCCAGTTGTTGCCTTTTATTTCCTCAAGAGTGGTTTTTTATTATCTTTTAGATGCAGGGGGAAGAGGAATGCAAAGGCTATTTCAGCCCAAGATTTTCTGATGACCCTCTCTTGACAGTTCCTGATGCAGCCTGTAATACCTTGATAAATCACATTTTTCTCAATTTTGTTTCTGAAGATGTAGGCTTAATGCTCCTCAGAGCCATCAAACATCTGAAAGATGAAAGCTGTCGAACATTCCAGAGTGCTATCTTCCATAAAAATGACTGTGTCAATAGAGACAAACCTAACAATATTTAGTTCAGAGTCAGGTAATATGCATTTCAGGGTTTCTCGGTCAATAACACTGTGAAATTCTGTATAAGAAAAATGTAACTTTTTGTTCTCTTTGCTCAGTTAATGTATATTGATTGTTTTCCTTTATAAATGATAAATAGGGAAAGCTTAACTAAATCTTGTTCTCTAATGTAAATACTTCAGTGTGATTTCTTATAGCACAAAGGCCTCATTTTTCTTCCACGTTTTCATATCTGAGTTTAATTCATATTGCTTTTTAGAACTCCTATGAATAGCAGGTAGGTTGAAGATAAGACCTTTATAGAGATATCATGTAATTCCGTTAGCACTCCTGGAAGATCAGTATTGTTTCCATTTTACAGAACAGCCTAACCATTTGGAGAGGTGGAATAACTTGCTCAAGGTCACACCCTAATCAGTAGGAGAGACAACCATACAAATAGGTCTTCATGTTGCAGTCTCAAGGGAAGGAGGCTTTGGCTTCTGGAAAGAGAGAAACATCCAGGAGCTACACATACGAGGGTAATTCAAAAAGTTCATGGAATGACATATTATTATTATTATTATTATTTTTTTTTTTGTCTTTTGTCTTTTTTCCGTGTCTGGCAACGGATCGCAACCCTCAGTGTTGCCCCCGTACCGGACCGGGGACCGGCAACGGGATCGCAAGCCTCGGTGTTGCTCCAGCCAGTGAGCGGGAGCCGGTCTGTATGTGGGATCCGAACCCTCGGACGGGAGCGCCGCCGCGCTTCCCAAGCGGCGCACTATCCAGTGCGCCACCGGGCCGGCCCCGACATATTATTTTTTAATTCTATTTTTCTATGAACTTTTTGGAGTACCTTCATGCAAAAGAATCTTAACCCCTTCAAAGTGCTTGCCTTGGGGAATGGGTTATGTTCATGTCGTGTCACTTCTCACATTGTTTTTAGAATGTGAGTTCCTTGTACAGGAACTGTCACAAGAGCCAAAGGCTCATTGTTAGGAATATCCATCCCAGTGAGGGAATTTGAAAATTCTTATAAAGAGCCAAAAAGGTACTCTGAGCCAAATCTGGTGGATAAGGTGACTGGTGGAGCTGAGTAATACTGGTTTGGGTGAAAAATAAGACTTGGTTGTATAGTGATCAGAGGAGTTTCTTATGTAACTTATGAATAGCTCCAAGACTGCCAAAGAGGCATGT